CGGAGGAGGGCGAGGAGGAGGGCGAGAAGGACTGCGGCACGCCGTCACCCCGAGCGCCCTCCTCCTCGGCCCCCCGCTGCCGCTCCCTGCGCGAATCGCCCCCCCTCCTCCTCCTCCTCCTCCCCCTCCTTCTCCTCCTCCCTCCTCTCCTCCTCCTCCTCCTCCTCCCTCCCCTCCTCCTCCTCCTCCTCCTCCTCCAACTCCACCTCCTCCTCCTCCCCTCCTCCTCCTCCTCTCCTCCTCCTCCTCCTCCTCCTCATCCTCCCCCCCGGTGCAAGACGAGTGCCCCGTGGGCCCGCTGGTCGGGCGGGAGCTCCGTGCTGCAAGATGCCTCCCGCCATCCCTCGCGCCAGATGGGATGCTGCGACAGCGCGTGCTGTAAAGTGTCCAGAGGAGTTCCGCCACGAGGATATAGACGCACAGAGGCTCTCGAGTGCCCCGTGGGCCCGCTGGTCGGGCGGGAGCTCCGACTTTATGGGTAGCTCTTTGGGAGATGTTATATTCCTTCGACATGGCATTGGATGCTATATGACCTGCCAGAGCCATTTCAGAGCTGGTAACGGAGCTGGCCGCACTCTCGTGTGGTCAGCTCTTGCTCTTCTTATCCTCACGCTACCCGGCAAGATCTTCGTGACCAACCTCTACCCTGCGCCACCACTTCACTTACATTTACGAGGATCAACACAAGAGCAAGGAGCAACACGAGAGGTACGACGTCTAGACAACAACATTGGTACCATATACGCTTCATCACTACGCTACTACCAACCGCTCGGCAACGAGCCAAACAACGCAGTACTTGAAGCGTAGGCGGGGAGACACGCAAGATAAAGTGCCTCGTAGATTTGACAAGGCGCTACAAACCCTATCCCAGCGCGGCAACGCGCCTGATAACCACCCATATCTTCACAGCCTAGGGTTGGTTATTTTCGCCGTCATATGGTTTGCGCTGGGGGCAGCAATCGGACACATGCGCCGAGGAGACAATAGCACAGATGGGCAAACACATGGCCCATACTGGGACCCTCAAGGCAACGTGCCCTTCCGCGAATACGTTTATGAGGTCAACGCGTGGCTTAACGTCACAAGCGGACGCATGACGCCACAAGCCCAAGCAGCCGCCATACAACGCGGCCTGGGCGGCCTAGCGAGGACACTCGCCATGAGGGTACCACCTGACATCATCAACTATGGTGCGGACATCGATGGTGTCCACACCTACCCAGTAACCTACATTATGTTCCTCTTAAGCATGAAGTTCGAACGCCTGGAAGTTGAGCGCCAGCTCACTTCAGACACTCAGCTCATCGACTTCCACGTGCCTCACGGAGAACGAACCGATGTAACCCTTACTCGGGTCGAAATGGCCCGTCTTGAGGCACAGTCGGTGGGTTTTGACCTTCCCAACTTCCAAGTGCTCACGACTATCCTGTTCCGCGCCCTAGGCGTTGGCAGCCAGCGAGCCATGCAACTCTTACAGCCACTCAACCACCAAATGCCCCGAACACAGTGGCTGCGTTCGCATGCCGTCTCGGGCCCAACCCTCATATTCCAACGACGGCCTCAATGGCTGCGTTTGTTCGCATGCCGTAGCGGGAAATTTCGGCATATCCCTCACTCATTTCGAGCCCCACGGGGAGCAGAGGAAGAGGGAGGCGAGGAGGAATGAACAAAGGACAACAGGGGAGGAGGATGAGGATGAAGATGAGGAGGAGGAGGAGGAGGAGGAGGAGGAGGAGGAGGAGGAGAGGACGAGGAGGAGGAGGAGGAGGTGAGGAGGAGGAGGAGGAGGAGGAGGATCCCCGCGCCTCAGCGCGCAAACAACGCGCACGCGGTGGCCAGCTGGCGGCGGCGAGCCAGCCCAAAAGGCAAGGCTGGCCAGCTCCCCCGCAACGTTTTGCACCGCATCTTCACGAGTGGAAGGACCGAGAGAGATACGGATAGAGAGAGAGAAACACACAACTATGAAGCTACAGAGAAAGAGAGGGATATCTATATATATATAGAGAGAGAGAGAGAGAGAGAGAGAGAGAGAGAGAGAGAGAGAGAAGAAATATAAGAGAGAGAGAGAGAGAGAGACAGAGGGAGAGAGAGAGAGAGAGAGAGAGAGAGAGCGAGAGAGAGAGAGAGAGAGAAGAGGATATAGAGAGAGAGAAGAGGAGAGAGAGAGAAAGAGAGAGAGGAGAGAGCGAGAGAGAGAGAGAGAGTGAGAGAGAGAGAGAGATAGAGACTGACAGAGAGAGGGAGAGAGAGAGAGAGAGAGAGAGCGCAAGAGAGAGAAAGAGAAAGAGAGAGAGAGAGAGAGAAAGAGAGAACGAGAGAGAGAGAGAGAGAGAGAGAGAGGGAGATAACGAGAGAGACAAAGCGAGACAGACAAACCAACACAACTAGATGAGGAAGAGAGAGGGGGAGGATAATGAGGAGGATGAGGAAAATTATGATGAGGATGAGGAGGGGGATGAGAAGGAGGAAGAGGAGGAGGAGGAGGAACAAGAGGAAC